AATGCTCCCGGTTTTATTCGTGCCTTTCATCTTAGCCGTTTTTAATTTAATACCTTATTATTGTAGTCATAAATCAAGCCGTATAGAAAGAACTTCACTATATATTATATTAATCGATATAGCTAGCTGACTAATTCTCAGTGTACACTGAGAACTTGTCTGGTAGATAGATAGATAGGTAACACGACGTTGTAAAGCATTGTCACTGAAAGTTATCAACTAACCCAATCAAAATCCGAGTAATCTTGCTCTGAAGAAAGCATTTTGGCTTACACACACCGACATGTTTAGGAAAATCGTGTTCTCACTTTTTCTATACACAACTGGATTAGTTTATGATGTTGTGTTCCACTAGAGGTAAGATTGACAACTAGAAAGTTACTTAAAAATAGACTATGTCGGATTAAGAGAACCTGAGGAGTCCATTGAACATAATTTGGTATGTCTGATATAGGACTGGACTAAATTGACACATTCCTAGCTTAGAAATAGGGAGTGAAGTAGTTGGTGGGGCGTGTTGACCACTTCACTTATTTGGGAAGTGGTATCAGACAACGCCAGCAGGTTGATCGCTGACGAAATTTCAGAACGGATACAGAAGGCTAGTTTCGCATATGTCAGTTGATGCCGTCTCTGGTGTAGACGTGATATCCGACTGGCTGTCGACTTAAGGGCGTGTATACTGCTCATCAGTCCTCTCCATCCTAATTTACGGCTGCGAGATCTCGCCATTGAGAGTGGAAGACATGAAAAGCCTGGTTAGCTGTCTTTGATCATAGGTGCCTGTGTTCTCTCTACCGTGTAAAGTGGCATAATAGGGTGAGTAATATTGAGGTTAGGCTTCGGTCGAGTGCTAGGTAGGTGGGAGGGGAAATCAATAGACGAGGCTGTGAAGTTTCATCGACTGAGATGGTTAGGATATGTGCTACGCATACCTGCCTAACCATCGCCTCCCTCGACAACAGGCAATAGTAACTGACATATGGTCAGGTTGGAAAAGAGCCAGTGGTGGTCAAACTAAAACATGGCTTCATCAGTTACTGAAATCCTCAACAGTTAGTGTAAGCCACACAGAAATGTGTAGACTTCCTGGTTGAAGTCCTCGGGATGGTAGAAACCAATGGCTGGAGATAATCGGTGATATGATTCGATATTAAGATCTTACCACCGGGAAGGTAAGTTGAGATGTACAATGTTCGAGGTCGACCTTTCCTAACCCCACCTTCCCTGAAGCCGAGAGGTAACATAGCCGACATGCTGGCCATCTGAAAGAAACAACTCACGGCTGTCACACCCCTATTCGCCAGCAGTACAACTTTTCCCACTTGAACTTCCCAACTTGTACTATAACAGTAACTGCTTTTATTCAGCCTAATCGCTATTCAAAGGATCTTTCTGGCATGATAGATAGGAGCTGCAGGACCATTCGTTCCAGTCAATGTAGCTTGTTGGGTCATTTGCATATGCAAGCCCTACCAGCAAATCAAGATATGAGCTATCGGTCTATGGAGAGTGATAGACACCTGTTGTGTCCTATTTTGAGGCTGTCCTGCGCACCCACATAATCCCACCGAAGATAGAACCCAGGGTGTTAATTGAAGTTGCGAGACCAGCTCATTGACCATTCTACCACTTGAGTGTGACGCCAACAACTCCACCGTGCAACTGAAAATACAAAGCTTGAAGCCGCCCTGAGGTTCACTCAGAGCCTAAAGAAAGGAGAAAAAGAATTTACAAGTTGACACTACAACTATATATTTCCCGATATAAAGTAGTAAGACAGACATTAAAATAGAACGCATAACACTACGCTTCAACGAAATCATATTCCGTAAGGAAGAACACGATTCTACAGGATTAACACAAACACTCAACTTACACAGGATTACAATTACAAGTTTATTTCTTTTAGTTTTAACTTCACATTCTCATGCCCTGGTGTGAGGACATACTCGCTGATGATATTGAGCGCTTAGTGGTCGTGCTATATACCGTCAATTGGCAGAAGATGGAATTCATAGGTTGCCGATTGGGTCGGCGCCTGGTCCCAGTGGCTTAATAGTGTACGAGCTAGCTAGCCTTGTAACCAGAAGATCCTGGATTCGAACCCTGGCGGTGGATGTGTGCTGCCGAGGAGTCCAAAACCGGGAGGACAAAATAGCTGGCTGTTCAGTACTCCCTGGTAGTAGTTTTCTAATCATTCTCTAACCAAAATCAGCTCATGATGCAATCCTGTAACCGATTAAATCAAATTTTTGCAGACCCAACACACTTGAATATATGTAATCGTTAGTTTATTAGATCTTATTAAATAAACTTGCTGCTAGTTAAATAGAATGTTGAGCTGTTAACTGGTTACATTCCTATTTCTCAGAAAGAAAGCAGTACGCCCTATATAAAGGGAAGTCTTCCACTTCATTGCCTACTGAAGCTGGTGTCCCTCAAGGCGCTGTCCTTTCTCCTTTTCTTTTTTCTTTCTTCTTGCATGACTTGTCTCACTCTGATGAAATAAATTTTGTGAAGTACGCTGATGATTTAACAGTTTCAATGGCTGTTAACTCCCAGCTAGATTGTACTAAAATAAATAGCTTTCTATCGGAAGTCAGCAAATGGTCTGAGTCTAACGGTCTTAAACTGAATCCTTCTAAATGTCAAACTGTTAATTTCAGCTTAAGATGTAAACGACAGTTAAAAGAAGTCATCGATTCTCATGATAGTTGTAAAATTGACGACAATGATATAGGAATCAAATCAGAAATTAAGTATCTTGGACTTATTCTCTCTTCTGATCTCTCCTGGTCTTCCCATGCGTTGAGGATCTCCAGTAAAATATTCCACCTGACATTTTACATTCAGAAGTTAAGGTACTCGGGTGTAACTCAACCCCTCCTCTTACAGTTCATAAACTCTTGCATCTTACCTATTGTTCTTTATTGTTCACCCTTATTCTTTCCTGGTTTGCTTAAAAAGGACTATGTCACAATTCGTAGAATACTGAAGACTGCCAGTAAGGTGAGTGGTGTCTCAGTGGACCACATAGTTAACATCGTTGTCGATAGGCACTTGACTTCGTGCAATAAATTTGCTAGAGGGATTTTGTCTGACTCGGAGCATCCACTTTACCCTCAGCTTTCTTTCACCTTGCATCTCCTCAGGAAGTGAAGTGGTAGACCACGTTGACCGCTTCACTTATTTGGGAAGTACCATCAGCCCCAACGGGCTGATCTCTGACGAAATCTCAGCACGAATACAAGGGGCTCGTTTCGCATTTGTTAGTTTACGCCGACTCTGGCGTAGACGAGATGTTCGACTATCGACCGAAGGGCGGGTGTACTGCTCATCAGTCCGCTCCGTCCTCCTTCATGGCTGTGAGCGAGACCTGGCCACTGAGAGTGGAAGACATGAAAAGACTAGCTGTCTTTGATCATAGGTGCCTACGCTCTATTTCCCGTGTAAAGTGGCATAATAAGGTGAGCAACATTGAGGTTAGGCGTCGAGTTCTAGGTAAACAGGGGAAATCAATCGACGAAGTCGTGAAGCTACAAAAACTGAGATGGTTAGGACATGTGTTACGTATGCCAAGCCATCGCCTCCCTCGACGAGCAATGTTAGCGGATATAGGGTCAGGCTGGAAAAAAGCTAGCGGCGGTCAAACAAAAACTTGGATTCACCAGTCAATGAAATCCACAACAGTTGGTCTAAGCCACGTAGAAAGGTGTAGACTTCCAGGCTGGGGTCCTCGGGACGGAAAAAATCTATGGTTGGAAACAATTGGTGACATGGCTCAAAACCGTTCTCAGTGGCGCAGATGCATCCACTCCCTGTGACTTATGATCTTCAATGAAACTGTTTTGTATTTCTTTATTACTCCTTTGTCTCACACCTCTACTCACTGTTTCTATTATGCTTTTCTTGTACTTTCTTCTCTTGCTTCGCGTGCTACACGGAATGTGGCGACTTGAACTTCCGCACATTTGTGCAAAGTTCTATGTCGAAAACAGACAGACAGACAGACAGGTAGAACAAGAAGTAACTTCAGAAAACTGTATGCTCGCACGTCTAAGTATAGAAATTCTATGATACCATACTTGTCACGTATTTTATGTCATGAAAATAGTGTCAGGCCAGAAAGAATTAACCAACTTTTTTTTCATCTAGTAAATAAACAATTTCCTCCATCCATCCTTATAAACCTTCAAGTTTTACTTTTATTATTTCTATTATATTTATGGTTCTGTTGCTTCTGTTTTTTTTACTTTCATAATTACAAACACTAACTTATCTCTATGACTGCTGTAATCTTTGTTTTTCCCGTCACCATATCATGTAAAGAGAACATTATATTCAATATTTTTAAACCTGCTACGATTTCTATACCGCATTGATAATACTGTGTGTAAAAAGCCCACGGCAATTTTTCACTTGTATTATTATGATTATTAACTTAGCTGTTATCATTATTATTTCCACTTTATATACTGCATGTTTTGACATTACCCACCCTTATTGTAAATGTGGAAAATTTTCTGTGTGATTAATTTTTTTATTTATAATTTGAGGAAATTAGATGCAATATTGTGATTAATGCTGAAAATTCCATTCTGTATCACAAGTACTGTTTTTGGAATGAAGTAAATCCTTATTATTATTATTAATTGAAAATTCACTAAGATATGCTTATAGAAGATGAAAAATGCGATGAATAGTCAAAAAAGTTTATTCATAGAAGCGTCGTCAAACACCATCCAATTGGTGCACATTACAAAACTGACTATACATATACACAGACAGAGAGAGAGAGACAGGAAGAGAGCAACTGGGTGGGTTAATAGCATACAAAAATACATTGGTTATCCGTAACCTAAGTGATATATGTATGTATATATAACAATAATATCATTAAAATAATATTGAGGTAAATTATTTTTTCTTCTGATTATTATTTACAATAAAATAAAACAAAAATTTTTTTTAAACAAAAGAAAAGTTGAATCAGTTAGTCAGTCAATGAATCGAAATGTTACCGACTGTACACGCCATAAATTACTTTCTTGTGTTAAAAAAAATGTTTCCGAAAATATACGTGCAGGATGTCGTTCAAACTTAATTGTACCAAAGACATTGACCAATACCAATAATTTGTCACCAGTTAAACTCTCTGTAAATTGAAGAAGAAAAAATACACAATAATACGGAAGTGAAAAAATAATAAGAGTGTGGTGAGAGCAGGCTGCCAGCTAGCCAATTGGTAGGTAGACATTAATTTACGTCAATGTGTACGCCACTAATATTGGTCGTGAGAAAATATGAACAAGACTGATTCAACAACCAATCACAGCAGACTTAACGTGGGCAAATACCATTCGCAGATATATGGCTTAACTTTCTGAGAAACCAGTCACAACCAGTAGAGAATAACCTTGAGCAAGAAACAACCAATCAGAAGACTGTGTTTGTCTGCTTGAATAAGCTATAATAATGTACATGAAATGTATATAAATACGTGCTGATTTCCTTAATAAACGATCTGTTGCCGGGCCCTTGTCTTCTGTTGTTACAAGAGAACGCCCCCACCACCACCACAACATACTGGTAAGTACAGGAGAAACATGGATACTCTTATACTTGGAGAATGAGGCGAGGGGGGAGGTAACATGACAAACAAAAGATGATCGTTTAAATAGATATGGGGAGATTACAAAAAAAGAGTGAATGGATCAGCACCAGTGAAAAACATTTTGAGCCATATCACTGCATGTCTGTCTCCAGCCTTCATTGGTTTTTGCCGTCCCAAGGACCTCAACCAGGAAGTCTACACCTCCCGACATGGCTTAAACTAACTCTGTTGTGGATTTCATTGATTGATGAAGCCATGTTTTGGTTTGAACACCACTGGCTCTTTTCCAACCTGATGTAGCTTCCCACCAACCATTTCACTCCCTATTTTCAAGTTAGGAGTTTATATAGTCTAAAGTCATCTTACATTTGGCGGGACCGAATCGCATGACAAACAATCAAAGATTGGAGTCCCAGGTATTCAAAAGATTCTACATTTTGTTATTGTCTTCACCCCACCTAGAAGTACTATATTATTTGCATATTCTTAGTCAACGAGATTATTCCTCGGTGGTAACGAGTCAATCCCTGAGTCGCTGAATTCAGCAGTTAGAGTTAATTCCATTAGTACATCCATGATGGAATTGAATAGAAATGGCGATAATGGGCTAGTATCCCTGTCGGATACCACTAGTTGTCACCAGTCCAGATGACAACTCGGCGTAAGCTCCCATCTGGCTGCATGAGTTCGAATGAAGTGAGTTCCTTGATCAGTGAAATGTATTTTCTCGGAATTCCCTTGACAGCTAAGCATCGTAATAGAACCTCTCGGTCGACGGAATGGAACCCGCCTCTAGGTCAACAAATATAACGATTGTTGGACGCCGACGGTAGGTATGCCTATGTTCCAGAATCTGTCTAAGGGTGATGATATGATCGATGCACCCGCGGTAAGTGTAGCACGTGTTCCAACCATTTTATTTGTTATAGCTTCAATTATGCTCAATGTTACATTAACTTGCTGGCCAAGTTAAACTTTCGACACCAACAACTACCAATCAGCGAACGACGTCGAATTATCCAATGAGATGATGATGATATCATAATCCTCATAGGCGATATGAATGCCAACCGGACTGGGAGCAGACAATACAGGAAGATAACTCATCATGGGTCAAGAGACTCTGGGTGAAATGAATGAGAACCGAGAACTCTTCGCATCTTCGATGATTTGGTGATTTGGAGGCAGCATGTACAAGCACAAAGATATACAAAAAGCAACATGGACTTCATCTCAATGCTGCTCAAGAATGTCGAGATGTAGCTAGTCTGTTGGACACAAAGTCGAGAAGGGGAACATATGTGGGCTTAGACCACCATCTAGTTCAAGGAACCCACAAGCTCAAGCTGAAATCCTTCAGAACAATTGGAGACAGACCTAAATTCAAGTTTAGTATTCAGAAAATGAAGGACAAAATTGCAAGGGATACTTTCACTACAGATCAGATTAGACAGGCAGTTCGCAGATAAAAGAGACCTTGAAAACATTATATCAGATAACCAGGTGTCTGTCAAGGGAAGAGATCAACGCAGGTGACGTGTGTATCAGCAAAAGCACATCCAAAAGGCTACTTCCGTACGATGCTAAAGATTAAATTACCAGTCAGAAAGGATTAGAAACAAAGAAATCTGCCAACGAACTATAGTCAAGAACCTTTTTTCAAACAAAGTATATACAGAAGGAAATGGAGACGAATGAGACATACAATGGACAGATAGATCAATGAGTGACATCACACACCAGGCTGGCCACCCACCCCCCGCCCCAACCTAGTGGAACTCAAGTGGAAAACAACGAGTTGAGCGTGGGTCTGATGCTAACATGATGGAGATCGTGTGTGAAGAAGAAATAAAAGCCTGTGGGCAGTCATAGAGCCAGTCTAAAAGGGTTGGAGAGAACATCATAAAATATACATAAATACACCTATCTACACAAGTAGAAAAATTTCGTAAACTCACTATGTACTGGTTGACAAGATAATGAGTGTAAAGTAGATGTACTATCTGGTAGTTTGGAGAAAAATTCAACAGCAGCTTCTTGACCTTCAATACGATTACCATTCCATAGGACAATAACATTTTGCATAAAAAATCCAGGTAAATCAGGTCTATTCGACTTATCAAAAGCACGATAATAAAGTGCACTGAATTTTTCGCCTGCTTCTGAAGCTATTCGCCACAAACCATCATCATCATCACGACCATCAACTTTCGTTATTTGAGTCATCGCTACAAAAATACAGATAAAGTTTATTTTGATATAGAAAGACAGATTGATATTGTCTTATAAAATACTTAAGTAAGATGGTTGAATTCACAGCTTTTATAATACTAATAATAATTATACGCTAAATTTATTCAAACAAAATATGGGCAAGGATAAAACTAGATTATGAGCAGTACTGTACGTACGTGCCAACACGTTTTATCCAGAACGGAGAGGGCAGGAGATGGGGGTGGGGCTGAGTCTCAACTCGACAACTACTGACCACTAGGTGAAACTACAATGAGCCACATTCATTTAGAATGGCATACTTATCATTGGCTTATAGAGGCACTGAGCAACCATCCACTTAGGTATTGTAATAAATAATAAGCTTATCCCTTGATTTTTTTTATTATAGCTTGATTCCACACTGTATTTTCGGTACAAGTATAGAATTCTCAGCATGTGATATCGGTAGCCCAAATTTTGCAGGCTGGCCATTGATATCAGGTGTGCGTCGGCAGGTGATCGAACCCCGGACTATGTGCATGGTCGGCGAGAGTCCTAACCACTGCGCCACCGATGCACCGACGCTTCTATGAGTAATGAAGAGCTAGGTTGAATAAAAAAGACACCAGCATAAAATTCTATGGCGCAAAAGAAAAAGGGGACCAACAAATATTAACCAATCAGTTGTAGCGTCTAAAGTAAAGTAGTTGATTGTACTTTCAAAGTATGCTAATTCAAATTTGAATACGACGCTCAAAAGCAAGTGATATCTAGACTATTAGAGACGTGTCAGCTGGAAACACACATCTCAACTAACTAAAACTTGGAACCCGTTATAACCAGAGATTTACAAACACCGAATAAGAAATACAAGTCCTGAGTTCCAGTGTGATAACTAACCTATTATATCAGTCATAGCTGCACAACTAACCAAGGCATCTGTCTACAAAATGAGCTTATATGCCAAAAAGTGTAATTATTACATCACAGAAAGAAAGAACAAGTAGTAGTAAACTGCTGCCAATAATGTCTAGGTGTGTAAAGTAATAAAATATATCGGTGGCTCAATAGGTAGAATAATCGTCAGCTACGCTACACCACACATGGTATGAGTTTGATTCCCGCGACCTATGAATGCACACGCACAAACCTCACCCTTAGTTAGCTTACTAGCCACGATAGTAAGTCGGAAGAAGCGGGAATTTTGCAAGTGAGACTACCAACCGCCCCCCACTACTACTGAACGCTCAAACTTGAAGCTCTATCTTCTATTTACAATGCAAAGGAATGCAGAGGTAGATGTAATAGGTGAGGCTCACGTGCAAATCATGCAAGTCACAATAAACATATTGACTACTCTACGATACGTTTTCATAGTGTTCCTGTAACTAATATATACTATCTATCCTGCAAATAGTTATCAAACATAATGCCAGATAAACGTAAGTGCAGATGTAGGCTTAAGCACCCAGGATGGCTTCGTGTGCTTTTGGAAGTGTGTGTGGGCAGTTGTTACCTCCCGACTGCCCACACTGTGGAAGTTCATTTTTTCTTCGAGTACCTGAAACAGAAAGAGGGTTAGTGTTGCGTGACCGAAGAGCCCAGGGGAAAACTGCTTGAGGCCAGTCACACACGGCCAGTATGAACCGGTTTCTGGCATTGGTTCCGTATTAGTAAACTTACCGCCGGTTACGGACAATTTTTGAGGTCGACCCTTTCTAACCCCCTCTCCCCAGAGTGGAGACAGAACAGCTGGCTGGGATGCTGGTCATCTGAGCGAAACACTTCACTGCAACTGTTACACCTCTGTTCCCCAGCAGTACGACTTCGCCCTCAGACCCACCCCCCAGCATAGTGTAAGAAAGATTCTTACACAGTGCCTGTCGGTAACTGCTCTTAGTCTAATCGCTATCCTAACAACCTTCCTGGCATGATAGGACCTGCAGGAACATTGGTTCCAGCCAGTGTCACTTGTTGGGTCAACGCGATGTGCAAGCCCGGTGACCACCACACGTCAAGGTAGCAGCTGTCGGTCGGGGGCTTAAGCATCAACTTACAGCTAATGGGAGGGGGAGTTCTAGGTTCATCAAATCCCTCCCCACCACCTACTCTATCCTGGGCATCTCGGCAGGTAGGTAGTATTGTCAACTCATATTCACACGATAAATGTGGCGACTCACAGCATTTTCAGTGGAACTGAGTTCAAACATTACACACACACACACACATTCATACCAAAAAGGAGATAAATGTTAACTTGAAATAATAGAACAAGTTAACTACAACAACAACAAAAATTCAAAGCAAAATAAAAAAGGAGATAATTGAACACAATATCTTTTTTATTATATAAAGCAGTTGTTCCTTCATACAAAGTATAAAAAAATGAAAAGAAAAAAACATAATAAACAATATATAATGAGTAGTTGTCAGTCAAAATATAACTGAAACGCAAAACCACGTTGGACAGTAGAGATTGTATACAACAACGGCTAACTGAAGTGAAGATGACACAACGAACACACACACACACACACAAAATACTTCCCAAATGTGACATATTCATGAATGTACAAAACAAAAACAAAAAAAGAAGTCGAAATGCATCATCAAAATTCGTTGTTGATAGAAAAAGGTATACCGGAGGGATTAAATATATAATAAAGATACAAGATATATATATAATTAAAGACTAGAACCATTTATAGAGATAATAAATATACTAAGCAGTTTAACAACGAGCATTTATATTCTGTGATCTAATACCAAACCACAATTTGTAAAAATAACTCTGTTGATCAAATAAAGCACGAATAAGTCCAACTTGAATAGCTGCTACAGCAATCATAAGGATCACTTGAAATACCGACCCAGTTGTTATACGTTCTAAATTATCTTCCATTAATGAACTGTCTGCAGAATCAAAGTTTATCGAACGTTGTTGCATATGTTCAATACGTCGTAAACGACCAAATATAATATCCAATTGTGCCTTAAGAAATTTAAAAAAAAGGTTATATGGATAGGAGAAAAAAGGGTATTATATTTGTAGTAAAATGAATCACCTTATTTTACTCATCATTAAAGTTACCTGAGTTCTACTGGGAAGTCATGACCAGTGAGTAGGGCACAACCTACAGGTATAAGGATAAGTACTCGCCAGATGCAGTTTGGTTAGTTGAAATTCATGAGCCACCGGATCCGGTCGGTCCCAGTGACCAACTGGTCTTGGTCTTGGACTTAACCCTAAGTGACTTCACCGACTCAGGGATTGACTTGCTACCAGGGAATAATCTCGTTGACTTGGAATATGCAGACGATATAGTCCTTCTAGGCGAAGACGCTGACGAAATGCAGAGTCTTCTAAACACCTTGAGCCACAATCTACGAATGTTTGGCATGCGATTCGCTCCCGCCAAATGCAAGATGATGTTACAGGACTGGACTACATCGACGCCTAGTTTAAAAATAGGAAGTGAAGTGGTAGAGCACGTTGACCGCTTCACTTATTTGGGAAGTACCATCAGCCAACGCCAACGGGTTGATCTCTGACGAAATCTCAGCACGAATACAAGGGGCTCGTTTCGCATTTGTTAGTTTACGCCGACTGTGGCGTAGACGAGATGTTCGACTATCGACCAAAGGACGGGTGTACTGCTCATCAGTCCGCTCCGTCCTCCTTTATCGCTGTGAGACCTGGCCACTCAGAGTGGAGGACATGAAAAAACTAACTGTCTTTGATCATAGGTGCCTGCGTTCTATCTCTCGTGTAAAGTGGGATAATACGGTGAGCAATGTTGAGGTTAGGCGTCGAGTTCTAGGTAAACAGGGGAAATCAATCGACGAAGTCGTGAAGCTACAAAGACTGAGATGGTTAGGACATGTGTTACGTATGCCAAGCCATCGCCTCCCTCGACGAGCTATGTTAGCGGATATAGGGTCAGGCTGGAAAAGAGCTAGCGGCGGTCAAACAAAAACTTGGCCTCACCAGTCAATGAAATCCACAACAGTTGGTCTAAGCCACGTAGAAAGGTGTAGACTTCCAGGCTGGGGTCCTCGGGACGGTAAAAATCTATGGTTGGAAACAATTGGTGACATGGCTCAAAACCGTTCTCAGTGGCGCAGATGCATCCACTCCCTGTGACTTATGATCTTCAATGAAACTGTTTTGTATTTCTTTATTACTCCTTTGTCTCACACCTCTGCTCACTGTTTCTATTATGCTTTTCTTGTACTTTCTTCTCTTGCTTCGCGTGCTACACGGAGTGTGGCGACTTGGAATTCCGCACATTTGTGCAAAGTTCTATGTCGAAAACACACAGACAGACAGACCAACTGGTCTATGAGCTTGTCTTGTAACCGGAACGCAGTGTGGGTTCCAGCCCAAATGGGTGCGTACGTTCGGAGAGTCACAGACTAGGGCGAAGTAACTGTTCAGTACTCGCAGATAGTTTTTCAATGGTTATTTAACCGATGTCAGATCATGGCGAAACCCTATAACCAGTCAAATCAAATACCTGAACAAAAAAAAGTAACCTGCAGGGTATGAATGACTTTTATCAACAATCACTCACTTCATCATGACACCACTACTGGAGAAGGTGTGGAAAGAGGGCAAGGTACCCGAGGATTGGAAGAAAGGATACTTATTCAAACTGACAAAAAAAGAAGACTTAAGTCAATGCAAAAACTTTCGCGGTATTATGTTCCTGTCCATCCCAAGCAAAATTATACATCTCATCCAACAGTTGTATGACAATGCTGCATGCCAAGTAATCCACAACGGGAAACTGACGGAATCCTTCAAAGTGAAGACGGGAGTAAGACAAGCTGCTTGCTTACTATCGCAAGTGATTTTCCTGATTGCAGTAGATTGGATAATGCGACAGACAACGGCAACTAACGAGGGAACAGGCATAAAATGGACCCACACAAAACAAGAACTTGGAGGATCTGGACTTCGCCGATGATATATGTCTGATTTCCCACAAACTGGAAGATATGCGAGTGAAAAGCAACAAGTTGGCAGAAGACGCATCAAAGATAGGACTTCAAGTGAACATAGATAAAACAGAGGTGACGAAGATTCCTGGCCAACACCAACAATCAGCATAAATGGGATAAATCTGAAAGAAACAACCTCCTTTACCTACTTACCTGGGAAGCATCGTCTCAACTACAGGTGGAACTGACGAGGATATCAAAGCCAGAATCGGAAAAGCAAGACAAGCTTTCATTACTCTTAAGTCTGTGTGGAGGTCAACAGCACTCAGCATCAAAAATAAGATCCGAATTTTCAACTCCAGTGTGAAGTCAGTGCTACTTAATATACGCATCAGAAACTTAGCGCGTCATGAAGAGCACCTCAAACAAACTACAGACCTTCATTAACAGTTGTCTTCGCTCAATACTCAAGATCAGATGGCCGGCCAGAAAAGATCAGCAGCAGGGATCTCCGGCAATGAGTAAACCAACCAGGAACCGATTGCGCAACAAATAGGCAGGAAGAAATGGAGATGGATTGGCCATACTCTGAGGAAGCCACCAAGTGACATCACTAGACAAGCCATGGCTCGAGTGGAACCCGAAAGGGAAGCGGCGAGTTGGTCGTCCAAGGGTGACTTGGAGCCAGGTGAAAACTCTAGCAGAGAACCAAACGAAATGGAGACGCGCGGCTGAAGCCCTATGTTTCTCTAGGAATTAAAGGGAATAATAATATAATACACGTAAATCGACCTTATTCTCTACACAAAAAATAAAAATATTACCAGCATAAGTACATTACAACGCAGACTGGTAAACTTTACCGTCATCAGAATACCTACGGAAGATAGTTCGAGGACATGAAATTTCACAACAGTTCCTGTTTGGAAACCAGAATCATTTAGATCACAACTAATGTGATCTGAGTGATACCATAAATAGTAATCAAGCAAGCAAGTATAAATGAATGAAAAAACATATTACTGATTGAGTGAGGTTCGCCTAAACAAGCAGCTAGCCGGAGTCCGGGTAGTTTGGACTGATCCGGCGGAGTGTTCGTCAGTCCAAATTCGATCCTCTGGTCGAAGAGGTGGAGCTATTGAATTGTAACCGGCAATTTGCTCACGTTCGCTTCGGTAATGGACGTGAAGATACAGTTGCTCTTCATCATCTGGCACCCAAAGGCGAAGATGTAGATCAAGTTGAAAATTCAATACCGGAGGGCGACGCAATTCCTGAGCAACAAGTAAATGGGGATGCGACCACTGATCCTAATATTCTTTGTGAAGAAAATACAACTGAAACGAACAACGGGCGTATTCTTTGGAAAAACAACAACGTGTACGGCCTTACAATTTGCGTACCAGAGAAGCGTGACATAATGGCTCATTCCTTTTCAAGCCGCAGTGAATGTTGTGAACTTTTCTTATAATACGTATCTAATCATATTCATATTTCTACCGCTATTAACACTCTTTTTTCCCTTTATACGTTTAAGCCATTCCGGCTTCATTGTAAAATGAATAAAGCCTAAATTCTTGGTTCATTCGTCTTTTCAAGATTCAAGCATCACTCATCGTTCTAAACTCAGTCACCTTCGTAACAGGGGCACTTCCAATGTTAGATTGCAACGTAAAAAGGAAAGAAGATGAGAAGTTAAACACAAGTGTGTGTTTACAGGAAACCCACACATTCAAACAGATATTTGGACTTCCGATCATCCCATCCTATGTCAGTAGAAATAGGATTGGTGAAATGTTTAAATGACAGAGCACAAAAATAAATAGTACCAAGGAAAATCTAAGACAGGAAGTGATACACATAAAAGAAGCCTTGAAACTTAATAATTACTCGGATACATTAGTCAGGAAATATGTAAGGAAATCTAAAAATAAAATAAACAATGATAGTAGCCATAGTGATAATAATACTAATAACAATAATAATAATAGTGATGACAATAATAATATTAATGACGACACCATGCGTCGGTAGCACAGCGGTTAAGACGCTCGCCGACCATGCACATGGTCCGGGGTTCGAGCCCCGACCGGCGAACACCTTTACCTCGCTAAGCCAGTAGTGAGACTGGTAAGGAGGAAAGGTTGGGCATGAGTCTAGCAACCCCATCCTGTAAAAAATCAACACTGCTACGGAATCTTCAAGCCTATAGCTTGGAGCCCTATGTTCCACTGGGAACGTGAAGGAAAAAAAATGACGACACCAACAATAAAGAATCTAAATCATCAGTAGTAATTCTATACAAGGAAGGTACCTCGGAAACCTTACGCAGAATTCTTAACAAGGCAAAAATAAAAGTGGCTAGCATGCAAACCCACAAACTCAATTAGAAATAAGCTTTGTCGGTTGAAGGATCCTGTGGAGCCTTTAAAAACAAAACAATTTAGTTTATCTAATACCCTGACTGCAATGACTGTCAGGTCAAATACATGGGTCAAACTAGTAGAACATGGGCAGTCAGACTAGCCGAGCATATGAATCTAGCAAAATCTAGATTGGTTGACCCAAATAAATCTAGAGAATATTTAAGCCACAACATTACATGCAGTTACACACAACCATACAATAGTCTGGATGGGATAGGATGACAGTTTTAAAATCTAATGTCACAGGGTATAGGGAGAGATTGATAACAGAAGCTTTGTTTATCGAATCAACTGCAAATACATGTAATAGGAATGATTCAACACCTGTTCTCCCAGATATCTGGAAGATTCTACTACCACGCCAACGACGACAAATAGGAGAGGAAAAAGAAAACTATAAAACTCAGGTTTTGAAGTCGTGTGATTACAATTGATACGACTATGAACAATAAATTTTGTTCGAAACGGCATCCAGTAAATAATACTGTTTCACTGTGTGATACATCTAATAAACAAACTAATATGGAATGTCTAAACACGCAGTTGTGGCTGCTGTAAACTGGAAAGATATCTGCAAAGTAAAATAGAGAAGATTTGTAGCTCAGGTGGATGATTTGCAATTAATTGTGTTCTCTAAGCTGGTTGGTTTATAATTGCAAAGCTTTCGTCGTCCTCCTTCTGGACAACATCCACTTTTAGCGCAAGTTTTAGTTTTATGCTAAAGCTTTGCAATTTAAGTAACAAGCTCCGAGAACACAATTAATTGAAAAGATACCTTATTGTTTTCACAAGTGAACATCTACTAACATCTGACTATACAAACAAATTACGAAACACATAAATACCCTTATGGCTGTTTATTTATTGCTATATATATTGTATCCTTAAATTCTGGATACGGTTAATTTGTTGACTGGGTTTGTTCTTTCACAATCAATCTACCTTGAATTAAATCAGGACTTTTGAACATTTTATACTTTTTTATTACAGCTTGATTCCACACCGTATTTTTGGTACAAGTATAGAATTTTCAGCATGTGATATCGGTAGCCCAAATTTTGCAGGCCAACCATAGATACCAGATGTCCGTCAGCAGGGGATCGAACCTCGAACCATGTGCATAGTCGGCGAGAGTCCCAACCACTGTGCCACCGACGCACCACTAAAGGGAGGACCGTGAGGCCTCCCCACTGACAAAAACTACACGTCCGAGCGCACCCGATTAGGGGCCGTCGAGAGTTTTAACCCACCGAGATGCAATGGTGAGCCTCCACCCGGGGTCAAAGCATTCTTGATTACCCTGAACCCGGCGCCAGTTAACACGAAGAATCCCGATGAGATCACTAAGACACACACACACATATGTCAGCTACTCAATACAGTTTAAATCTATAACATCAACACCAATGGACAGAGTGCTGATGAAATCTCAGCACGGATACAAAGTGCTTCTGTGGTATATGCAACCCCTTACGTCATCTCTGGAGTTAACGAGGTGTTCGGTTATCCATCAAAGGACATGTGGTGTTCTGCATAGTAGTTTGCTCTGCCCTTCTCCTTTATGGCTGTGAGACATGGCCGTTGAAAGTGGAAGACACGAAAAGACTAGCTGTCTTTGACATTATATATGTCTGAGTTCTATCTGCCGCGCCAAGTGGTACGATATGGTGGTGAACAATACTGAGGATAAGTCAACTAATGGGGGTGAAGCTGAGTCGACTGAGATTGACTAGGACACATGTTACGGATGTCGAGCAAATCGTCTTCCTCGACGAGCAATGTTAGCTGATAGAGCCAAAATGTAAAAGAGTTAGGAGTTGTCGAACTAGAACCTCGCGTCAATTCATAAAGTCTCCGATAGTTGACACGTAGGGAGATGCAGACTGTCTGATTAGGGTTGTCAGAATGCTGGAATTCAACGGCTGGAGACTTCGGAGATATGTTTCAAAATCGTTTTCATCGGAGAGGATGCATTCACTCTTTATAACTTCCCAGATCCACTAAACCATGTTTTTCCACACATTTCTTTTGAATCTTTTTCCTCTGGTTCGTCTACCTCTGTGTGCTACGTACAGTGTTACAACCTGAACTGCTGTCCTTCTCTATACTAAGTTCTGCGTCAAAAGTTAGCCAGTCTATATAGTTTTCAACTGAAAAGTTTGAATAGGACGTTTATAAAGAAAATGGTGACTAGCCAAGAATCACCACTATGTAAAGGCTTCTAATAATCAGAGATATTTTAAGGCTAAAAACAGAAATACACGCATCATTACGAAAAGATTTCAAGGGTAATTAAGTCTTAAAAGATGTTTAGTCCACTGTCCTTACATGATGCAAAATTGTATAACGATGTAAACGATAAAATCCAAAGAACGGGTTAAAACATAAAAAACATCAAAATGTTGTGTGTGAAGATAGCAATTTCGCGGTAGGAATTATTGCTTCACTGATCACAATACCCCCAAAGGACACAACAAACATCAATCTATCTACAAAACACATCAAAAGGAAACAAGTCACAAATAAGACTAACCATAAGTTTTTCTATACTTTCTGCATGTTCAGCATTTGCTGCATGAACCTGTGAATTAGCCAGGGCATTACTTCGTAATGCTTCTATCGCCTGTCTTTCCAACTCACTGGGATTATCCCAGTTTATATTCACATCAATAGAGAAGTAAACATATTTATAGGCGTAACTAGCCTTTCTGTTGTCCAGACAAATGGCATAGGGCATTAAACGAAAATACTTCGGAACAGATATTCTAGCAAAAAAGAAAGAAAAACGGGTCGTGGTTATCATACTAAACTTAATAACACTAGATTATTATTATATTATTATTCTCTTGGATTCCAAGTGGAAAACAGGGCTTTGTTTTATTTTCTGCTGCCCTCCTTAGCCGGGTGTCTCTACGATTGTCCGTAATCTCTCATCTCCTCGCACGATTCCCTCCATGTCACCTACACACTGACGACCCACTCGTCACCTTTTCGAAGTCGATGAAGTTGAGGTAGCGAAGGGTTTGACTGCCATTCTATGCTTTGTTCGATGACGATGTGTAGAGTTGCAATTTGATCATCATATGGTTTACCTTTCTTGAATCCAGCTTGTTCCGGTGAGGAGCGGAGTTCTGCATCCAGTGTATCTTTTATCCTCTGCAGGATGATGCGGCTTAGTATTTTACTTGGAGTGGACAAGAGCATTATTCCAAGCCAGTTCTTGCAGAGGCAGGAGTAAGTCACCCTTCTTTGGTAGATTGGCAAGGTAGCCTTTCTTCCAATTGGTAGGCACATTTCATTTCTTCCAAACCTTTGCAGTAATGGCGTGAGCGGCACATCTGCCGTACTCTCTGGATCCGTTTTCAGTGGCTCGGGGGAAATTCTATCTGGCCTTGCTGCCTTCCCGTAGCTTGAGTGAATTCAAGGTTTCTGCTTTTGCTGCAGGATTCGTGTTCACTGACAAGCAGTTCGGTGGTTGCCGGTAGTGGTGATATTTCTGGGTGAGCTGCAGGTGACGGTCGATTCAAGAGCCCTTTGAAGTGATCAGCCCACCGTTTGATTTGTTTCTCCTCCTTGGTAATCAGGTTCCCTTGAGCATCTTTTATTGGTTTCATCCTCTGGGTTGATCTCTTCCCGGATAGAGACTTGGTTATCTGACATGGTGTCTTGATGACTCTTTTACCTGCGGCCTGTTCTACTTCAGCTGCCAGTGTGTGTTGCAGAATTGTCTTTTATCTTTCCTAGCAATCTTCTTCATCTCTTTATTGAGTACAATGTACAGTGAACTCAGCTTCTCCTTCTGTTGTCCATCTTTGTATCGAGTCACCTTTTCTTACACGATCCTTCTCTCTTCTATTAGTTTTGAGGTATCCGTTGAGAGCAATAGCATTCGAGAATGGGGTTAATTTATTTTATTGACCTTAACAGTTGTCATATGTGAGTGTGCTAGTGATTGCCGAAGATCTAAAGAGATAAATCAGAGTGCAAAGCGTGCTTAACATTGTTATCTCTATGTCAGTGTGAATTGTACAATAAATGAAAAAAGTCGCCAAGATTGTAAAAAACAATACAACTCTGACTAAAGTCACTTAGCTCAAAACGTTTGAAACCGCATTCACCTTTAACCCTTAATATCTTTACATCAAACTGAAAATTTATTTAATTATTTATTTAAACGCAGAAACAACTTGGTACAATATGGCACCAAGGAAGATGCGCCACACAATAATAATAATAAAACAACATAGATCGCGCGATGATGCCATCGAAGAGAAGCAATAATGCGAAGATAGCGATGATCGAATACGCAGAACTGCCGCACATCCTCAGCTCCGACAGGCCACGTTCCACAGGTGAAGAGCAAAACAGTTCATACCGAAGCATTGTATACCTGATATTTGACAGTCAGGCTAACGTCGCGACGGCGCCATAGGTGGCTCAAGTTAACGTATGCCACCCTAGCCTTCATGATACGGTTGGAAATCTCATCCGTCAACCCCCCTCCCGCCAGCACACACAACTACCCAGATACACAAACTTATCAACAACTTCAAGAGGTTTAAGTGCAAAAGTGAGTGTAGGTACAAGCTCCTGACGATCTTGTAACAGCACTTGGCACTTAGACGGCACAAAACACATACCATACTTACAGACACTGATCGCCAACTGATTAGGTACGATTTGGGCAGTTGGCATTCTATCACACAGTAAGACGATATTGTCTCCATACTCGACGTCGAAAAGTCTATCTCCAGGCAGCAGATCTACACCACCTTCACGCACATCCTTCAGAGCTGACTCCAGAATGTCATCGATGGCAAAGTTAAAGAGAAATGGAGAGATTGGGCAACTCTGTCTAACTCCACTGTTGGTTTGGAACAGTGATGATAATTGGTTGAATGCCCTCACTCTACCTGAGGTGTTTCTGTATAGAGCTTTCAAGATGTTAACAAATTTCTCAGGTACATCTCTCTCTAACAGACAGTTCCAGAGCACAGTTCTATCCAACGAATCGAAGGCAGCCCTAATATCAAGAAACACAACGATTGTTGGCCTGCAATAATGAAAAAGGACCTCACGACAATGTGACTTAGCTTGAACGTTACTACATCACAAATTCTAAATGTTGAAATAAATTACATCAAACAAAACCAACGAAAAAAATTAGCACAGTGACAAGTTATGAAAATTAAGCACATCCTGATCAAACAACCGTAACTGACTCATTTTCTTTTTTGATAGCGTTATTAGAAGACGGAGACTCTGAAAAATGTAATGTATTAGCGCTATACATTTCGAACAATCTGATCACACATTTACTTGTCAAGTCAATATATTTTCCTTGAAACCTGACGCTGTTTAAGAAACTACACTAACACAATAGCTTACTGCTAGCGGTATAAGAACTTTTGAAAATTCCACTTGTTTAGCATTTAGCTTCATGTAAACGACGACCCTTTATTGTCGCTGTTAACAATTTTTAGAGGTTTAGGAAAAATAACCTGTTTTCTTGAATAATAACCACCTCACCGCAACAACTCAACAAGTCGAAACACAACCTACTGCTTGAAAGTCAAATAACTCGGTTAATAGGTCATATTTCATGGTCAACTGGTAGTTCTATTATGTTGTAACCACTAACAAAGAAACTAAGAAGAATCCAACGTGTTATTTACTCATAGACGGGGGTACAAATACATGTAAAAGACTTACTTTCGGTTAATATTCTTTGAAAGAGGACAAAAAGAAAGGGTAATACAATAAAGTTATAATCTGCAGAAATAAAGTTGAAAGAACAATAAATTGAAGTTTTCATCTATGCAGATATCGTTATTCTCAAATAAATGACTTTACTGTTTACTTCTTCCAACAATTACTTCCTGGTCTTTGTAATCTTTCATATTTCTTTCTACCATTACCCATTCTGTTTCGCTCTTATACCTGTCAAACTCTATTGATTCTCTTCACTCATCTTCTTGTCTACCTTTGTGTGCTATTTGGAACGTGGCAACTCGAACTGGTGCACTTCGGTGGCAAGTTCTATGTTGAATCCAGACACACAGAACAATTTCTCCCTTATGCTTAAAAACGAGACGACTCCCAATTCCATTTGAAAACTTCACTTCCAGTTTTACATATAACCGAAGGAAATATCCAGTAACGTATATTATTGTGAGACACTGACAATATGATTAAGATCTGAACACCATGTAGTACTCAGAAGAAAAATGATACAACTTCAAGTATCGCAGAATAAACAAGAGACTAATGAATGCCATTTAGCCTTAACTCAATGTTCGCCAATCAACATGCACTGATTTTTTCCTTCACGTTCCCCAGTGGAACACAGGGCTTCAAGCTAGTGGCTTGAAGTTTCTGTAGCAGTGTTTAATTTTACAGGATGGGGCTACTAGCCTCATGCCCAACTTTTCCTATTTGCCAGCATTATTTCTGGCTTAGTGAGATAAAGGAGTGCGTCGGCCAGGGATCGACCATGTGCATGGTCGGCGAGTGTCCTAACCGCTATGTCACCGACGCACAACATGCACTGATAGTTAGTTAGAATTCAGCTGGTTGGAGCATATATGGTATGTGCCAGGCTATGTATAAGCCGCATTCACAGTGTGATACAGAGCAGTTTCCCGGGTTTAAGTGGGTGCCCAAAAGTAGTGCTTCAGTCAATGGGCAATATTTCCACACCATGCACTGACAGTAAATGCTGACTATTAACTTAATATATCATCCAACAATTGAATGATTTAAGAGTGAGAAGATACCATAACTTATGCACTCTGTTTTTAAGTCTTGTTGAAAACTGTGTTATACATAGCTCCACTGGAAACGACGATGCAATACATAGAGAAGCCTGGATGTTCCAGAACTGTCATCTTTTCTTTATGGTTGCTTTACGTATTAAAGATAGTTCCGTGAATATGTTCACATTGTGTCATCTATATGAAACCAGTTGACTTTGTGATAAAAAGATTTATGGGAATGGAAATCTTCAGACTGGAAAACAAGACTGTCTGCTGATTAACTTGTGTGAATGCAGGGAATATGAAAAATGAGTTATACAGTAAGATGGTGGGAGATGAAATGTTGCACAGAAGTGTGACATGAAGTACGAGTGATACGAAAAACATTGATGAACAGATAAAAGAATAATATTTAACAGTAAAATAGTACTAGCTAGTAACATCCATATGCTTTAGCTACACATTAATTGGTAAAATTTAATTCGTTACTTGTATGTATTAAAGGAGTCACAGAGAAAATATGTGGCTCGGAAATCCATACGTTGGTTATTATCATTTAAATTGGTCTGTTATTTACGTGAACTAATAGGAATTTCCCGAAACATTAATATCTTGAAAGTATTAACAAAATAGGTAGTTAAGTTTTAAAAACAAAACAGTTAGCTTACGAGACTTGTGAATCCGACAGTGGAGGGCGTACTGCGATTGGTTCTCCTTCTGGATCCCGAACAAATATACCAACATCTAAATGACCACCTTTAACAACCTTTGGCGAAACCAATAAAGGGAACTAGGCAGTTACCTGATAATCAATGTCAAAGTTAGAAATAGGATTGTAAAAGTAGCAATGCTTCACTCCAGGAGGCACAATAACGACCAGAGAAACAAAGTCAGCACGATTATTCAAAGGTTCCTCACGTGAAGGTAAGGTAAAGATATCATCCAGCTGATATTCATGTGCGATATTTGCTTGTGGCTTCCTAAAATTGTCATGGTAGTTCTGTTGGTCAGCATGTTGCCAAGCAGATCTACTGGCCATATTGTCACTTGGATTCCTAAACATTCCATCTTGGCCATCATGGTAATTGCGACTAGCAAATTGTTCATGGTTACGTTCAAATTCCTTGAAACTAGACTGTTCATAGTAGTTTGGCGGAGGCTGAGTACTGTGGACTCGTGGCATTTCTGCGTGATTAGACCCATGTACTCTACCTGTCGGGTCTGGACGCTGATTAGGAACCATATTAGGATGCACATTAGGCATTGGTGGTGTAAACTGTTGACCACCTCCATTGGGAAAGTGTTGAGGAACATGTCTACCAGGAATGTTATCTCCAGAGGGTATTTCATGAGTAAATATTCCACTTTGTGAGCTGTCAGTCTTCGTTCTCTCGGTGTCTTGAAGGATTTTCTGGTTATAAGGACTAGGCACCCCTTGAGCAGGCTGGTTATTTTGCTGTAGAGTAGGACCAGAGTTCATTTGGTTGGGCACTCCATGCTCATATTGCTTTGTCCCTCCATCTGCTGATAGGTACTGCTGGGAAAGTGGATCTGTAGACAGACTTGGTATGCCATCACTGTGGTGTGAGTTTATTTGGTTGGTGTCTCCACTACTAGGAAATCTCACATCTAGATTTTCATGAGGCAGATTAGGTGGATGAGAATCAGAATTAGGAATAGTCAAATGTATGGCTTCTCCAGCCTGTTGTGCTAAACGGGTATCAGTTTTCTTCTCACTCTTTAAGTGGAAATTACCTTTTTCGTTAACGGATGGCTGACATCTCACAAGTGAAAATATTACCAAACCCACGAACCAACAGAAACGAGTCATAAACATGAAAATCCTAAAGTACCGCCGTAAGAGTTGATCAGTCTTGTTATCGAGTATAGTAAACAAAAACAATAGCTTTTATTTGAAAAGCACAATGTTTTTCAGGTACCCATAAATTCGTGTGTCAGTGATATACGTTACAGAGTAATTAGAAATTATGAGTTTAGGGAATAATTTTGGTTTTAAACGGTGATCTGTTAATCTTGAGTGTTCAGCATGAGTTTGATTACTGACAACAGAAAATTTGCTTGGATGAATTTGTGCACGAATTAGAAATACCATTTGGGCAAGTAATACACCTTTATTTATCAGATAGATCTCACTAATATAACGGGGTATCACCCGACGTAAATAATTCTCAAATGTTTTATAATTAGTCTTAGCATGCGTGGTGCTCCTGAGCTGATATCTTTCAGAAAAATGACCCTAAACACCACCAATACTTAAGCATAACTTTGCTATTGTTAACTATGCAACATATGCGCTACAATGTATACGAAAATCTTGTAGTGCATATATCGATATAAACAGGTTAAATTAGAAGCGGTTGGCTGCTTCCCTAGCACTTACGTCGTTTTAAGTTTTGTTTTCGTGGATTTGCATCTGCACGATTCTAAGCTCCCAACGTACTCTTTAACGTGCACATTCTCGCAGTCCCTAGCACAGTTACTACGAGTCACACATGTTTTCATGTTTTGTCAACCGTAATCCCTTGTCTGCCTAAACATATTACTTTTGATGAAAAATCCTTGAGTAATGTGGTGTCTTGGCTTTTTGTGAACTATCAGCTTGCATCGCTTTCAGTTCTACCAGCACAAGATCCAGGCTCTTTTTTATCCCTTCAGTGAAACGAAACAACCCTAACAGATCCTGGCTGTCAATGAAATCTTCAAATCCAAATGAACCTGGCAGTTGGAAGTTGGTGTGACATTCTTCAAGTGATGGTGGGCCACTACAGGAATCGGCTGTCAATGTGGCCAAGATTTAGGGCTTTCATGACAGATGACTGCATAAAAATCATGAGTATCGTTCCAATCTCAGGCTAGCAGGCGAGCGGACCCACAAAATTCAAAAGATCGATAGCTGAACAAAGAATATTCCTTTCGAAAACTTCTTTAACAGTTTTCAAAGTTTTACATATGGTCCATGAACTTCATATGGATGAATTCAATCTGAGGGATGGGGAGAGAAAAACTGAGGCCGGAGGGAGCAGCATGCTATATTTGAGGATGCTCAGTAAGTTGGCTGTGTATTGATGAAATGAGAAGGTGCTAAGTAGGCTGCAAGGAATTTCTGAGACAGATTAAATGAAAGCGAAGGCCCTAAAATTTTTACTTCACAGCTAGTAATCTATCTCATCCCGAGGGCAAACACCAGTGAACACACTGAAGGAGTGGATACGATTGTGTCGCTGACAGCGTTGAAAGGCCACATACAGACAGAACACATCAACTCCAACATTTGGCAGGAAGAGGAGTTTCTATAATACCTGCCCATGCCCCTACAGACCAAGTCCGGTTGAAAAGAACGATGAATTCTGCTACGGTTTTACGCAGTACCTACCATACAGTTAACTGCTCCCTAGTCTAATAACAACATCGAAGATTTTATCGGTGACATTAATACCAATCAAACTGTAAGCAGACGATAAAAAAGCCCGTTAGGCTAAGGGGTACACAGTGAAACGAGCTAGAACAGAGAACTGTTTACGCACTTTTTCGCTTTCAGTGATTTGATGCTTGAAGGCAGAGTCTGCAATGCGATAATAAACACACAAAGACACGGATCTCAATAGATAGACACTCAAAAAATCAATAAAACTTCATGTTGATCTAAACACTGGTGAGGCAACTTACTGGGCACAGTGTCAAGAAGAGAAGATATGGGCTCAGGCTAATTTCTAGTCCGAGAGACTTTCAAGGTCAAGACGAAAAATTTCAAAGAAGATTGATATAGACCAAAATTCGAGATAGCCTTTGGGAAATTAAAGGAAGGGACCAAAAGGGACTGTAGCGGTAAATAATTCCCCAAAATTATTGACCATAAGAATCATCAGTGAACATTGGACGCTGACCCTCAGAGTTTAGGTCGACTTGTTTAGCTGTAGGCTTTCGGTCAAGCATCCCCGCTATTCGGTACTCCGTCGTGTCACTGTCGTGCACGATAACTAGCTAGCCTAGCTTCGCTTCGATCCGCGAGTTGGTTCCGAAATATACATCGTAATTTGGACAGCCGATTGTAGTCTTTTGCTTTGCCTTTGGTACGTGAGAACAAAACAAGTTAGAAGTTGTTGGTATAAGAGCTTGCGTTAATATACCCAGTACTGTTCGCGAACGTCTATGCCGTCAACCCTTGAAGGACGCAGTCCCTGATGTCATTACGAAAAGGTCAGACATAGCAGGCAACACCACTGAGGGAACGTTTGTAGCAGAATGCTGTAATTCTATGAGCTGGGCGCGTAAAATTAATCTACATAACTGTCTTAGAAAGGACGAGAAGAAACAAGGTATGGCTGACTCCGGAAACCGAGAAGTTGATGAAGGAAAGAAGGATGAATTAGGAAAGACCAAGTAAAAATTGAACGATAAGAGGAGGAGTTGCGCACAGTCTACAGTATGCTAAACACTGGAGTGAAGAAACGTGCCAGAAACGATGTAAGGTAAACGTGCGACACGCTGCGAACTGAAGCAGACATACTGAAGAGGAGATAGATCACACAACACAGTGTCTAACGGCTGAGTGGCTGGCTAGCTGGGGGCGAATAACGCACGTCAGAACAAGCGAGGAGTAGTGGAGATAGCCCTATGATCATAGAGGTGAAACAAAATAAACAATGGGCTTGTAGAAGATCGAAGAAACCCATCAATTTAGCTGAACCTCAGCCATCTCGCCTCCAACGGCCAATTTGTTTGTGTTTACGGAATCACACTTTAGACAAGAGTGCTATTGTTGCGTTTTGGTACAAATGTGTATCCATATATTCTGTTCGTGCTACGTTGATAAATAGATTGCCAAACCACGTGAGTGCCATATTCCCCGTTCAATAGTTGCGTCTGTATTAAGAGTAGTCTGTCCACCAGGTCAGGTGGGCCAGGCCAAAGGGTTAGCAACGTAGCCAAAGCTGGAGTTTAGCCAAATAGATGGCTACTCAACAGTAGTTGGCGTTATTTATAATTAAAGCCAGCCGGAGCTGAGCTGAATGTCATTCGCACTGTTTCCCTTGATACTCACCGCCACAAAAGACTCCAGAATTGACTGCCGCCCGTAAATTGTCTAGAAATACCACCAGCAGGCAGGCAGATCTTGTATGCCTTGGAGTCGCTAAAATCTGGTCAAATATAAGAACAAGATGGAATTCTCCAGATGCACTGAAAATTAACCTTGAGAATTCAGATGAATTGCTCATGCCATTATTGTGGAAGTTGAGGGGGGAAGAGAATGTACACTGAAAGTTCCACCCAAAGCAGTCCGGTTTCAGTAAAATCAAATTATATGAGGCCTGGGTTTCATCCGTTCACACTGAAATAGGTCAAAGCTAAAAGTAGCGGTCGATTCTCCTCCTCAACCCCATCGATTGTGAGAACTAGTTTCCCCGTTTTCTCATCATTAATTTAATTCAGACCGACTTGGTCAACCGATTTCGAATTCTGTCACGTTACCACCTGGGTTTCTACAGTCAGAAAATTAATGGATTTTCATCTCATAGCTTTCACACCCTACAGTCTAAAATATCATTGGATAGAATGCACACCCGCTTTCTCTTTGAGCATTGTCCATACAGCTCAGGTAGTGTCTACATTCAAGACTAACCAAAAATTGAAAGTGTTTGAAAGAGTTTTAAGTGGGGAATTTTAGAAACAAGTAGAAAGCTCCCTGCACTACTGCCGCACACTTATTAGGATCTAACCCCATTAGACCAGTCAGCAGCTTAGCCCCATTCCCCTCCTTAAAATCCGTAAGGATTTGGCGTACTTTACCAATAATAACGTTTACTTCACCATACATCATAAGCCTTGCTCTTTGTCGCACTAAGTTCCATTCTAACCCCTTGACTGTTAAGCATGGATAAGTACTGAATTGCACGCCGGTTGAATTAAAAAGCGATGCCACAGTAAAACGATTCACCTTTCGGCCAATTAAATATTTCAAAAAAATGCCTGAAATATTTGGGTGTCAGATGAAAACCAGTTTATCATCCCTTTCGCCTACGTTTCAGAGTGTCTGTCTTTCATCTTCACACTGAGAGAGACAGATAGAATCACCAAATGTGTTTGGCATAAGGAGGAAGGGTGGCGCTAGCTGATCAGTAGATATGGTGGTGGTCACTAAAGTGAATCACCCCATTCTGCAGGAACAGCAATATGCAATTTGACGGCTCGAGATATTTCTAATTTTTATGAGGGCTTAGATCTTTATCTTGAAAAAGATAATAATGAACGCATTGACAGATCATGCTTCTGCCTTTAAACATACGCCATTCGCTCAGCCTATTGTTGAGATGCGACCACGTGGGCTCTGCAAATATTTATGGGACATCTTATAAATTAACTTGCTATCCATTGTCCGATCTTTGAATACCACTTCACATTGTCTTATCCCGTTCATTTTCTTATAACGTCTTTACTTGATCCTCATAATATTCCATTAAACCTAACATTATACATAGCTCTTTATGAATTTGATTCGACTTCTCCTCTTCCTATTCTCTGTAGGGTACGGTTGTGCACCAAATAGACAAAAATGCATGAATTAAAAACAACTGCCTTGAGAATAATTGTATTAAAGCCAAAAGTGGACATCATGATAGTACGAAGTATATTGGTATTATTATACATTGCAAATGAACGTTGTTAGCCCAGGGATTAATTAGTTTCCCACAGTATTTCCTCTATAAATGCATTTATTAATGATATATTGCATTTACTTATTCCATTACACTTTAATGATTCACCTTAACACTTTCACTTTTCTGAAACAGCTTTCAATCCCTTGTAAACGTT